AACACGAGCCTCTTCAAACAAGAACAGTCTCTGACCTCCAAGACCAGCAGCACTTGTGAACACCAAGTTGCCAGCTGTTTTCCTGCCACGACTTTCGCGAAAATCAGGAATAGCCCGTGGTATCCATCAGAGTAGCCAGACCCACTAGAGTCACTTACAGTTTCGGGGCCCCCTGACGTTGTAACATCTACCCTAATGAAGGCGGCACCAAAACAACGTGTCATGGCACCCGATGCCCCACCCGAAGGGCCTCCTCAGCTGCGGGACGCCCACCACCAGCAAAGTACCCTTTCTTAAATGAACCCGACAGGTCTATCAAAGTTGTCGTCAAAAACTGGTCACTAGGCTCAAATGGTGATCTAAGCTCTACTGACCTAAGCAGCTCTACTACACAAGACATATGGTCAGTCGTAAATACGACCTTGCAGCTAAAGCCTATCACTGAGCTTATGAAGACTGCTGCGCTCATTTTCTATAAACCTGGTATTTCCCGGCCGCCGACATTATGGTGCGAAAACACCCCTAGAGCACGTTAGGGTGCGAAAAAACACCAAGACGACCCACTACGCCACTCGCATTGCACAGTGACACTTGAATTTTTCCCTTTTTTCTTTTTTTTTCATTTTTCCTTATTTTTATAGCTTTTTCTCTCTTTGCCGTTCTTTGCCCTCTCATTTCTTCACACAAAATATTAAAATTGTGAGCGTGAATAGCATGTACCCTCCTTCCTGACGAAAGCCAGACTCTGGCCGAAACTGTCGAAATAAACGCTTCCGCGCTGCCGTTCTCACGGAGGATCTACTTAACTATACATATGTATATTATATACACCCACACACGCACACACAGGTCCCGCAAAAACTGACAAGTCCGCTTGCAGTCTGCTCCGTATCTGCAGAAAATCCGCAGATATGATCTGTTCGGTGTGACTGGTAGGTGACTGAAAGGTGAAACATATTTATTCACTGTTATCAAGTGTCTTGGTCCAAATTGTACAGATACATACGTAGGTTACATGCATCAAAGAGCACGCACTCTGGACGCCCATTATCAGAAAAGCCTGCGGTTTTCTAAGCGCCCGCAGAAAATCTGCAGACCAGGTCTGCAAAAAGGCCAAGTCTGCAGAAAGGTGACTGTTAGGTGATTGTGGGGGACAGAAATGTCGAACCGACTTTTATAAGGAAGGCAGGTCACCTTTATCGGGCTTGCCAGTGTCGTCGAGTGGGACTGCGAGGCTTCGCAGTCAATGCACCCTGCCGCTGGGAAGGCGAGCGCCGATACGTAATCGAAGCTTCTGTCTTCGCGCCATACTTTTCAGGATACCCAGCAACGGGACTCACGGTTGACAGCACGAATGTGCTATTGGTCACCGAGTCCTCGTCCGTCGTCAGATATCCCAAGAAATCCTTCACCTAATCCGCGGCGAGAAAACTAGAGCCATTGGCCTATAGAGGCAAAACCGCTGATACTCTAAAAACGGAATTCCCTCAATCGCTAACGTGATCAAGAGGCTGCAGTTACGCAATGACGGATAAGAGCAGTAATGATGTTACTTCCGAACTGTTAGTTTCTATCGACGACCTTGAGGCTGTCACGCTGATTGACACTGGTGCAGACTACTCTGTGGCCAGTAGCATATTCACAAAAAAAGTTTAAAAAGCTATTAACTGAATGAACCGGGCCTCAGAGAAGTACCGCCGGAGGGAAGTTAGCCTGCCTCGTGGTATTGTGTACAACGAGAATAGGGATTAATTATTTGTGTAAACCGGCAGTTTTATTGTCCTCCCGGATCGTTTCCGTAAACTGATATAGGTATGGATCTAGCGAAAAACACCGCAATCATTGATTTATGATAATCTAAAATTCCTTTTTCTAAAGAAAACTCTGGTGCCACATGCAATACGGAACGACCAGTCGTTTCACCTGTCCATATTGTTGACTATGACACGTATTCGCGAACCAACCTGAACATTTTCTCGAGTTTTCCTTATCGGTTTTCAGCTTTCATTGCGCATGATAAACAAGTTGCATCAGTATTTATAAACCAGTATTGCCCTTATCTTTCGTCCTGTCACCATTTTTGTGCCTTCATAACGCATGTAGAGGGTACAAGAAGTTGAGAAAAACGTGAGGTAAAGCCGAGGTTGGTCTGCGAATACGGGCCTAAGGTGTGACCACGCTGCGTTGCGGTGTGACAGTTCTTGTGAAAAACGGCGTTTTTTGTGATCATGATGGGCTAGTAGTTTGAAACATCAGACTGCTGATTGAAAAAAAATTCGCCTCTTGAGAGGTCTGGTGAAGCTTCTTGATTGATGTATGCATGCCCTATTGACGAAATTTGGCAGTGAAGTACATCACGTGTCGAAGAGAACAGCCGTAGTAACAGCCTTGCATGAATATATGCAAGCAGCTGATGTTTGTGCTCTTCTTCATAAAGACCCGCCAGCCGCGGCGACAGTGAACAGCGTCCTTCAATCAATAGACATTGACCTAAAGCATTCATCCCCACAAAGAGAGCAGATTGTAAACCTGATTAAAAATTAGCGAAGTTCTTTTCCACTTCATCAAAAGTCGGATAAATTCCCGTCGCAAATCTCCATATTATGTTCGAAGAAAATGTTAGACTGGTGCATCAGCATCCATATCGAATAGCCCTTAAATAACGAAAAGCGATTAAAAAATAAATTAAGGAAATGTTGAAGAACGACATAACACAGCCATTTAACAGCCCGTAAAATTGACCTGTGGCACTGGTCAAAAAGACTAGCCCATGGTTTTGTGTTCAGTACAGGAACTGAACCTCATCACGAAGCGGGATGCTTAACCACTACGAAAGATTTATGGTAATTTTGGACAACTTACACAGCTCTCACTTCATTTCATCATTGGATGTAAACAGCTGATACTGTAAACCAAAGTGGTTAAACGAGATCTCGAGAAGACGGCTGTTATGACATGTGATGAACTGCACGAGTTCCAAGTACTCCTATTTTGTTTGTGATCTGCTCCAGCTGCCTTCCAAGGGATGGCGGACACGGTACTCTCCGGACCCAAATGATAATCGGGCCTCATCTATCTCAATGATGTAGTAATTTTTTCTTCTTCCTTCGATGAGCACGTGCACTGGCTGAGAACAGTATTGGATGCGATCCGCACGACAGCTCTGACTATCAAGCCGAAAATTTTCCACTTTAGATTTCACGAGCTTAAGTTCTTCAGACGCATAGTTATGCTGAAGGCGTCCGCCTAGATCCGGCAAAGATTACCGCAGTTAGAAATTTTCCGTAGCTACTGGACAAAAAACCAGGAAACCATTTCTGGGGCTATGCCTACTACAGACGCTACGATGAAAACTTTCCCAAGATCACTGAACAATTGCCACGGCTAGTAAAAGAAAGTGTATCATTCATGTAGTAGGAAGAACAGAAAAGTTTCGCAGAGTCGCGATGCCATTTTCAGTCTTCCCCTATACTTGCACATGTTGATTAGGACGCCGACACGGACATCCATCACGACGCGAGGATGTTGGCTCGGTGCCATTCTCATTCATGGGCGTAATAGACAAGAAATGATTAACGTTTCCTGAAGCCACACTCTAGCAAATACTGAGCCCAATTATTCAGCGATGGAGAATTTCTCACCATTATGAGGGCCATAAGTAAGTTCCGCTCATACCAGAACATGAGAATGTTTCGGGTGAGTAGCTATAATCATTCATTGTGTTGGCTAACGAATATCAAGAACCCTTCAGGAAGACTTGCTAAATCAATAGGTTAACAAGAACAAGTCGAGCCTACGCATCTAGGAACACAACAAAACCGTCGTCAACAAGTCCAGCGAAAAGTACGATGACGCGGACTGCCTGCCACGTGCACATGTAAATTCTTCATCGTAAAATTGAGAAGCAGAGTTCCAATTTCTTGGAACTAAGAACGTTTCTGTGATGGCTCGTCATCAGCAAATCAGTGATCCCGAAATCACTCCCGCTTATCCATTACATGGAGGGTCAGCAAACTAAAATACCACGAGTTTTTATCTCTAGAATGACCTTTTGTGGTCTCCAGAACGACGTCCCCTACAAGCGCGACTTTAAACACAGTGGTGAGATGTTTGTACTTCTCGTACCGTCACCTTTGTAAGCATAAATTTGAAAAGTTTGTCATGATCACACGACGGCTGGCCGCTTGGGTATTAGTGGTATTTTGGTAAGAATCCACCAGCGGTATTATTGGCCGAAATTAATGGATTCTGTGCACCACTGTCTAATAATTGCCACCACTGAAACCAGCGAATTGCCACCATTGAAACCAGCAAGCCTGTTGAAGCCAATAGAGCCACCAGAGGGGCCGTTATAGCAGGTGCTATTGGATTTACTTGGTCAATTTTCTGTCTCATGATCGGGAGACCAATGATATACAATAGAGGACTCCAATATATGTATGTATGTATGTATGTATGTATGTATGTATATATATATATATATATATATATATATATATATATATATATATATATATATATATATATATTAAAAAAGAGAGAGAAAGATGGGAAATGAAGACGACGTCAACGGCCGACAAAACCAACAGAATGTGTGCATATAATTGCTCTTGAAATATTTTCGTTCAGTACTAGGTAAACAGCAGATAACTAAGAATGTAAGTCTATCCTTCATGCGCTCAGTGCCTAATTAAAGACCACTTAGTACAGCTCTTGGTTGAGCTTAAAGATTATGCAGTTCTGGGTGTCTTAACATTTTCTCATACTTTCATCCTAGGTTTGTTGTGGCTGACAGACAGTTGTTTCTTCTGTCCCATCCTCTTGACGATATTCTATTCCAAAAAAATATATATTCGTCTGAAATTTTTGAAACGCCAATAGCTGTTTTAAGTAACGACTGCTCTCTAGCAACTTGTGTACATTCGATGGTCATCAATGCGCTTATAGCACTTCGTGTTCGAAAGTTCTAATAGTAACCGTTCTTTTTTTTTACATGCTAGGGACCATTCATTGGGATTCCTGTCGGGAACGTCAGCATGACCCAAGAGGCACTGGCAGAGAACGTTACCATTGCCATCAACAACATATTGGCTGCGTTGGAGCAACGCTTGCTGGTCATTCGTTCCATGCATATCAAGTCTACTATGGGTCCCCCCAAAAAACTGTACTGAATTCGTTTTTCGCAACTTGCATATTCTTACTCATTATCAATAAATATTCTATATGCTACGTGCAGCTTCGGATTTCATTCTGCGAAGTTCCTAAAATGCCAATAGTGTCATATTTATTTGCCCCGCCACGGTGGTCTATTGCCTAAGGTACTCGGCGGCTGACCCACAGGTCGCGGGATCGAATCCCGGCTGTGGCGGCTGCATTTCCGATGGAAGCGGAAATGTTGTAGCCCCGTGTGCCCAGATTTGGGTGCACGTTAAAGAACACCAGGTTGTCGAAATTTCCGAAGCCCTCCACTACGGCGCAGCCAGCGTAGAAACTTGCACGCTATCACCTTTCCTACGCATGACGCGAGGGAGATGGGCCGCATGTTGTCTATCGTGAGCGTCTTGCCAGACTTTGTATAGAAGTGAACCTCACCTTCCTTCTATTCCTTGGACAACCGCCAGGTCTCCCATGTTTCGATGAGGTGCTATACGAAGCCGCGGGCCACTGCACCGCCTGTGTTACCGAGTAAGTTGTAAGTTATGGTTTCCCTGCCCAGTGCACTTCTCATGTTCCTTTTGTCCGTCGCCGTCTACAGTTCCGTCATGGTAAACGAGTAATCCAGCTCTTTGTTTTCGGCTCCCTCGTACCTTTCGCGCACCGGGTCCTGGCCCTTCTCTGTCTTTAGGTACGTTCCTTTCAGTTCCTCCAGGACCCTGCGGTTTTCTCCCTTGTGCATCTTTATTACTCTGGTAAGGTAGCAATTCGTCCACCTTTTGCTACTTTGCGGGACATGAGATGCCTCATCAGGCACCACGTCTTGCGTGCCGAGAGTTTTCACTACAGGCCGCCATGGGTCTTGAGCCAATTTTCTCTGCAGAGCTTAGCCACGTGCTCGGCAATCTGTTTGCTTTACACTGTCAAACGCTTGGCCAATTTTCTTTTTCCTCTATGACGCTTTTACCACCACGCTAAAGAGTGACGGGCCTCCCACATGTTAGTCAGTCTAGCATTCATGTATGGTGTCTGCGCCGCCGTTGCAATTTCTTGGGTGAATTTATGAATAGCTTTCTTCTGGTATCGCCTACTGCCTACTTGGTGCAAATCTGTTTCATTCAAATGTTTGATTCTTCATCGGACTCTTCTTGTTCTAGGGTAAACTTTCTCATCTTGTCACAATCCTTTGTCCGCACGTCCCCAGTACAGCTCGAAATCGGTAGCCTCGGATCGTGATGCCCATTACGCTATGGTCAGACCCCAAGTCCACGTCTTCCATTCTCTAGGTGACGTCTAGTATGCCCAATTACCACGTCAAGTCTGGTGTGGTGTCCCTTGCGTGCCTGTTTTGGTGGTTACATCCGGCTTGTTCATGATGGCCATCTCGTGATGCTTCATTACTTTGGCCAGTGGTTTTCCTCTCTTGGACTAGAACTTATAGCCCCACTTTGTGTGAGGGACGTAATTCACCGAAGATTAGGAACGACCTGGTTCCCACCAATCCTTTCTCCTGGCTCACGATGCGATCAAATTCGTGGTGTCGTCGTTACGGCGGGCAGTACATGCTCTTACGAATAAAATGCGCGAACTGCCAATTACTCTTGCGTGAATTGTGACCACCGTGAGCTCACACCCACCTCCTGCTATGGCGTCATTAATAGCTGCTTCGTTGCTCCCTACGAGCACCACCGTTCCATTTCTTCATAGGATCAGTTTAAGTGACGTACCTCAGGAATTTCGGTTTCCAGTTTGTTTCCTGTAGGGCAATTTTATCGTGCATGTTTTCTTTCCCGTCGATGTGTAACAGTAGTTCCACTTCTTCATTGCGAATACTGCGGTAGTTCTATTGGTAATTTACGGTGGTGTTCCTTTCGGTCTTCTTACGCTTCTTACTCGGCTTCTGCATTTTCCTTTCCCGACGTCTTGAGTCCACGGCACGTTTTCGCGATCTCGTTTTTCTTATTTTTTTGGCCCACTTCATTTTTTTGAGAGACGCGAACCGGTTCCTCACAGACGTTGAGGCTACTTTTGTCGCTCCGCAGTCATGCTTCACGGAGAGCGGGTGAAGTGGAGTACTGACAGCATCCTGTCAGGCATTTTTACTGTCTAGTTTTCATGAATTCCGGTGATTGCGATCACAACGACCGCTAGCTCTCCTTCTTGCGGAATCTGTGTCGTGGCCACGGTCGCCGCTTTCTCTTAGCTCGCATGGTTCTTTTCGGCGTCCACTGCTTCTTGATTATTTGATGTCCGTTGCGAAGCCTCAGCCGCTCCCGTCATCGACCCTGGGTGGACTGTAGGGATGTCCTTCTGCGGTAACTTGACCAAACCTTCGGCGTTTTTTGCCGCCATTGCGCTGTTTTGGAGCTTTGCATTTGCCGAGTGGCCGTTATTCACTAGCGTTTCTGTGTTGTTGACAAGAACACGTAATTGGCCGTTTTCCTCCTTAATTTGAGCATTTTGGCGCTTAATGACACTCTCAAGTTTCATCACTTCACTAGAGTCTCTTTGCGTATTCGGATTTCTGCTGCGGCAGCTGCATTTTCAATGCAGGCGAAAATTTTGTAGGCCCGTGTGCTCAAATGTGGGTCCACGTTGAAAAACCCGTCGAAATTACCGGTGCCCTTCACTGCGGCATTTCTCATAATCATATGGTGTTTTGGGGACATTGAACGTCACATAGAAATGAAGCTTTGCGCATCCGCTAGCGAGTTAAGATATTTCAAAGGGGTGAGAGGTGGGGATTTCATTTTATTGGTTCGAACGACAAAAGACGGGGTATAGCCCAGTTGTTTTTCGATGATCCTTCGGCGATTGGTTGCGTTCTTCCGAGACTAGGAACTTGTCCTGGAGCTCGAACTGGCCCGGCAGCATGGGACAGTTTGGGATTTTATAGCCAGCCCGGGGCTCCGAGGTGGTCCGATTTGTCGTCGCCCAGGGGCGATCACCGCCATCTTTGCCTCCCCTGGATCATGGCTTCGATCGGGAGTGGCTCTGGCCACCGTTTCCGCCGCCACTTCCTTAGCTAGTCTAGTCCGGTGTTTCTTACTTCTAATGTTGTTTTGAGGTGCTATGGCGGAGTGCACCTGCCGGACTTCTCTTGTCTGATTCCCTCTTTTGGTGTCGTAATATTCCTTCACTCAGCGCTTTCCCAGCATCGCCTGTGAACGTTGTGGCGGAATGCTGCCTTAAAGGACAATAAAGTGAAATAACAATTTACATCAGAGGGAAAGCTCCATGTATGAACACCTAAAACGACCATACTATCAGCAGTAATGCCATACTTACCGAAGAATTAAGGTAAATGCACAAGAACACGAGTGCCCAACTGGGACATTTTCAAATAGATCCCGATGACATCAGACGGACCGCCTACAATTAATCACTACTAATCAGTATAACTGCACCAAATAAAGAACCTTCTATGCATCAAGAGACGCAATAAAATGCAGTTTGATCGTTTTTGTTTGATTGATGAAAAAAAGAACTGCCGTACGTTACTATGGGGAATTGCGCGAGTGGTTCGAAATTCAATTTTTGCGTTGTTACACGGGGCAGGTGCGGCCAACTTGCAGGGCGCAGTTGAAACAAAAAGTGTCTGCAATCTCGGAGCCAATCGAGGGAAACTGATGAATGGCCGTTGTTGCTGCTGTGCCTCCCACTGCTTTCAATGTGCTGCTAATAGCGCAGTAAAGCCGGGCAACGTTGTGCACGGCAACAGTTATTTGAGTCAATCCGATCGGTCCTCGTCTTGAGGTGGGTAATTTGAAGTGCGCCAACTTGATGCGGACGACTAAAACGTGATTTTATCTCGAAATAAACCCTTTCTTGGCCCGAAAGTAACACTACGAGGTTTCCCGACCGCCATTTCAACAATCAACGTTGACTTAAATGTTGACTTTAGTGTTTCTCTAAAGAGATAAATAGCCCCATTACAGTGAAGAAACAAAGAACCTGGTGGTGCTGTTGCCGTACACGCACACAGTATAGTGCTTGATTAAAGAAGGTGGCTTCTCAGTATGGCGTGCAAGTGGTTTTCTCTGCGCCCAATAAACTGGTAGGCTTGTGTAGAAAAGTGAATGCTGAGGGTTCTGAAGGCGACGCAAGAGAAGAAGCGTGTAGTGTGAGACACGTCAAAAATTTGTCGAGTGCAGCGTTGGAGTCGTGTACTTGATTCCCTCGAGCTGTGGAGCATTTTACATTGGCCAGAAGGGCAAGTGCCTTAATAAAAGCCTCCAGGAAAACAGTAATTTGTGTAGTAGGTGTGCGAGAGAAGGAAATCTTGCTCATCACTGCTTTGATTTTAAGGGTCGGCCTAACTGGCTCACAGCAAAGATAAAATCAGAAGAGCAATCACTGACGCTTACTTTATGATGCACGAGAAGCTTCGCGCATGCGTTAGCACACCTTCGATAGCACCTATGGATAGATAGGGGCGTATTTATAGAGAGAAAACAAAAAATCAAAAAATATTAGTTTGATAAAACCACGTGTATTACGGCATAGAAAACGTTTTGGTTGGATCACGCGTGGTTCGATTGCAGTGCCCACTTCCTTGTATGTTACTCCACTCCCTTTTTTGCTTATCTGTTTCAATAAATTTTAATTGTTAAATGCGCTTTCTCTGTGTCAGTAAAGTTTTTCGTCCTCAAATTTGCAGTGCAGCCCTTTTCTGCAGTATGTTCTAACTAGCCCCCACACAAGCTTTTCTGGACAATGTAAGGCTTCTGCAAAACCCTACGACAGCCTTGCAGGCCGTGTTTGCGATCAGGGGGTTGCCTCCGCACAAGCCACACTTCAGGAGGCGCCTATATAGTCTTCGGTGGGGTTGGAGATTCCACATCCCCGGGGGAGTTTGTTCAAAGGTTCCGAGCATACGTCCATTCTGTGGCTCAATTTTCCACACGCATTGCATACGTCACTTTTTTTCTGTGCAGCGTGCACTCTGTGAGCAGGTTGCCGTATCTCACGTATAGGTGCGTACTTAGTGCCCTTCGAAAGCAATGAAAATCATCATGCCTTACCTATTTGGTTTGCCTGTAAGGCCGTTGAGTTATGCTTGTGCACAATATTGTCCGGAA